TATAGGCCTAGTAAATAGTAGAGTATCTGTAGGTTCTTCATTACAAGGCTTAGGCCAAAGGTAGCCTAATTAATGCTGAAATTATTATTATTATTATTATTATTATTATTATTATTATTATTATTATTATTATTATTTATGATTATTATTATTATTATTTAGCATTAATTACATTACAATGATAGTTTGGACAAGTTCAATAACGCCGGAATGATATATTATTTATTTAATAATATTTCTCTTATGCGCTCTATTTTTCATTTCATGCTTCAATTTTGTCCCATTTTCCCCACCAAAATTTCAGTCCATGTCAATATGTGAAGCGTGGCTGTTGTGTCAGCCTGACCCTAGGCCTAGTTTAAGGAGGGGCCTATGTGAGACCTCAGCCTGTAGTTAGGACTATAGTTTATCCTCTTTCTCTCTATCCTTTGGTATAACTGTACCTATCTACACTGTATAACAGGAGGTACTAGCTGTTGTTGTTGTAGATAATACTAACATTTAATAACATCCAAGAAGGTCACAGTTAGTTACACAGTGACGTACATCACATAAGTCCGTGAAATTTCATAGGCCTACCGTAGGTAAACATAGAAAGAGCAATAATAGTAAAACTCGAGCGTCACGACATTGCGAAGTGTCTGCTCTTGTTCCTCGTATCGTACTCACTCGAGTCAATCCGAGATGGCCCGAGTGAAGTTTCATGCAAATGTTTCGTACGGAAAAAAAATTCGCATCCCCGATAGTTGGCTATGCGGCAATGTACCCTTTGAATACAAACTGAAGACAAGTGAAGATATAAGGCAGCCGACTGTCGGGTACATAACGACTATTTAACTTTCCACAAAAACATTAGGCCTAGTTCAGTACAGTAGTTACTGCGATGCGAGGGTGGTAGATCGTTCAGTCAGTGATATCGTGATCGTCTAATACATTTTAATAATGTGTACAATTTAAGAATGCACCGGGTGGGTCGCTTTCTTTGTTATGCGGTAGTAGTATACGTAGCAGAGCAATCTAAGCCTAGCCTAGGGCCTAGATGGTATACGTTCTTGATCATCGACGATCGTAATGAAAATTTCGGGTGACAGACGATTGGACCCAAGATAGCTTCAAATAAATTGTAGTCCTAGTAGGCCTCTGCCACTACCCCCACTCCTGATATCGTTTCCAAACTACTGTAAAATGAAATTACTGTATACCTAGCTAGGCCTAGGCCCTATGCCTACGAAATTTTTCAAAGAAATTTGCTAAAAATATTACTTTAATTTGCCTGTCGAATTACATTACTAAAATCACTATTTTGGGCCATAAAGACTCCCCCTGTATTTTTTCAACCTCCACACACTATTGCGATCGTCAGGCAACTGATGAAAGGTGAACGTTGTGGGGTGATTATGTCGGTTTTTGATATACAGTACTTTAGAAACTACTATATATATATATATATATGTATATATATATATCTAATTTATATATACGTAAATATATATATACGTATATATACGTATTATATACGTATAATATACATGCGCATATATATACACACGCGTGTGAATGTACACGCGTATATATGTACACGCGCGCGCGTGTATATATATACACACACGCGCGTATATACATATATATACGTGTATACGTATATATATATACGTGTATATATAGGTGTATACGTATATATATATATATATATGTGTGTGTATATGTATATATATTTACGTGTATATATTTGCACGTATGTATATAATAGGGCCTATATACTTTTTAAGTCATGTATCATGCATAGGAACGTTGACGCCTGCAAGGCTCTGGTTTTTTTTCTCCAATTTGAAGAATTTTTTTTTTTTTTTTAATTTTAAGTATTTTAACTTTGTACAAATGATCTTTCTAAATAATGTTTTTTTTCTTGTACAAATAAACAATTCTAATTATTTAAAAATTACTGTACATTATTTAAATTACCACTAGTAGGGTACGTCGCAAGAACGGGGAGGTCGGTTAAGGATGCATTCTAAAGAACTTAGGCCGGTTCCCACTAAACTTGTCAAGCGAAAACGTTGAGCGTCACGCGGCAAGCGAAGCAAATCGCGCGAAGTTCACAAGAGTTGACTTTCGGTAAAGAATGTCTTGCTTCCAATGATTCGCTTGCCTGTTCCCACTGCTGGCCGCGCGCAAAAACTCGAAATGGCGGGTGGCAACAGAGAAGTGATTTTGTTATCGCATTGATAGACGGAGGAAAAGGGCTGTGAGACGGATCAGATAAATCCTCAGGATTAACATTCCCTATAGATATAACTCTATAATGAATCAAAAGAGTAAATATAAGCATAGTTTTTTTTTAGTTCATATTTATTCAAGGCCTAAAGCTAGGCCTCCTAAGGGTAGTAGATAGTAGCCCTAGCCTAGCCTACTGTAGGTCTCAGGTGTAGCAGGGTATCAGAGGCCTAGCTGGACAGGCCTAATACTGGTAGAAAGAGGAGATAAGTCAACTCGTCTCTGCAAATCCTTTTCTACGCATTGTCACATATTTTCTTTGCTCCATTGTCACAGACCTAAACAAGGGTAGCCTACTGTCCCACAGAGTTTGCATGAAACGGACTCGTCGGTCATCGTTCACACATCTGTTACGTCAGTAGGCCTGTAGGTTTCGACAATGGTCGTGACTTTATTGTTGACCTTTGACATAAATTGAATCTAAGCCTTGCGATTGGTCCATCGGCCGCGAATTCGCTCGCAAATCCGAAGAAGTTGGTCTTGGATCAACTCTTGTGAATTCGCAGGCGAAGCCTCAGCGACCACCGCGCGCACCGCGTCGAAGTTCGAATATTGGGCGTTCGCGTGTTCGACTACAAATTCGTTTGCATGTTCACATTGGAAACGCCAGTCGCGTCTTCGATTCAGCCGCGCGCCACATTTCGACGCGAAATTCGCTTGATCGCGTTCAGTGGGAACCGGCCTTAAAGGATAGCCGGCAGTTCTCGCCGATAGGCGGCTCGTGCTGGTGTAAAGTTGACAGAAAAACAGCAATTTCTCAGCTAATACTTGCATAAAATTTACCATTTTTGTATCAAAAGTAAGAGAAATCTTTACTGATTTGTAATATGTAAACATAGTTAGAATTAAGCGTTTAATTTTTTATGGGCAGTTTAAAAACGTTCAGTTATTTTTCGAAACCTGCAGCCTGATTTAGCCGGTTCGATGGACTCGACCATTATACATGTAGGCAAAGGCGGCCTAGGCTTGCTAAATTCTAACTATAGTATAGAGCGTCTTGGCTAAGATTGTCTCCTTGACTTCAAATTTTTATATACAAGAGTGTTCTTATTGATTATACAGTCACCATAAAATATATATATATCAGATATAGTGACTGACCAAAATGAATTTAAGACATTATATAATGTTACAATATTTCATTTATTATTTGTGATTAGGTGCCTAACATTCCCCTCTAAGTAAAGTGGTACGGTCCAACGTGGTTGTGTGAGCTACACTGTGTTGCGGAGAGATAAGAACTCTACGCACTGAAATTAAATAGGTTAAAAAAACAAAACAAATTGTAATGAGCGTACGTGACGAATTACCCTCACGCGTATTAGTTGCCATGATAATCGCGCGTCGTGTGGTGATTACAAAGGCTACGTTCAGACCTGTGAGATACGCCAGGCGTATCTAACGCCAGGCGTACGTTAATCTATGGCGTAACTAGCGAGATGTCCAGACTGGGCGATTAATGAACGCTAGCGTAAATATTCGTATTCGTAATTCGCGCATTTTATTTTCTGTTTACATCTAGGTTTATTTTGATTGGTCAAATCTTGGCTGAGTTCAAAATCACCGATGCGTGACTGTCGTAAATCAGTGGCGTACGCTAATCTGGGGTCTGTTGCTGGATTACCGTACGCCAGTGATTGCGCGATAATACTGGCGTTCGCTACGCCGCGCACAAGTTCACACCACTCGATTAACGTTACGCTAGCGTAAGTCGTTGTGTCTGAACATAGCCAAAGGCCTAATGATATTTTGCACTGACATTAGACTGAAATTATATTCTTCATTTCAACATTAATTTTACCAAAATTGTGGTGTATTGTCGTTCATGAGACTCACTTTGCAGAAAAAATTGATATGTTCTGTATATACTCAAATGTTCGTTTTCTGCACCTTATGCCAACATTGTCAAAATGACAGATTAAAGCCCCATTCCCGGCAAAATTTCAATTTTTAAGAAAAATCTAATTTTTGTATAATGTTATAAAT